TCCTTCTAGGGAAGTACAGTAAGATGCTAAAACTTACGTATCTTCACTTTAATATTTTCACAGGTGGGGCATACACTTTCTTCTTTCTTTTATTTTTTCTTGAGACTTTGAGACAGGGTCGCACTGTCACCCAGGGTGGTGTGCAATGGCATGATCTCGGCTCACTGCAACCTCTGCCTGCTGAGTTCAAGTGATCCTCCTGCCTCAGCCACCTGAGTAGCTAGGATTATAGGCATTGCACCACCATGCCCAACTAATTTTTGAATTTTTAGTAGAGATGGGGTTTCTCCACATTGGCCAGGCTGGTTCTGAACTCCTGACCTCAAGTAATTTGCCTGCCTTGGCCTCCCAAAGTGCTGGCATTACAGGCATGAGCCACCATGCCTGGCCCACAGAGGATACATTTTCTACATTCCTCTCAAGGGCAGGAACAGTATCTTAGGCATTATTTTAGCTGCAGTAACTGGAACAGAGACTATCTCTGTGTTTAATAAATATTCATCAGAATATACTTTTCCAGAATAAAGTAAAACTTTGGTAAAATATATGTGAGGTGGAAAGAGCTCTGGCTGTGGAGTAGACATTTGCTCTCATATCATGTATTACAAGTCCTTCAAGCATCCTGAGGCTTCATTTCCCTTTAAAAAGTCTACCCTGTCGCTGGGCACGGTGGCTCATGCCTGTAATCCCAGCACTTTGGGAGGCCGAGCCGGGCGGATCACGAGGTCAGGACATCGAGACCATCCTGGCTAACATGGTGAAACCCCGTCACTACTAAAAAACAGAAAAAATTAGCCAGGCGTGGTGGCGGGTGCCTGTAGTCCCAGCTACTCGGGAGGCTGAGGCAGGTGAACGGCGTGAACCTGGGAGGCGGAGCTTGCAGTGAGCCGAGATTGTGCCACTGCACTCCAGCCTGGGCAACAGGGCGAGACTCTGTCTCAAAAAAAAATTAAAATAAAATAAAATAAAATAAAATAAAACAAAATAAAATAAAAAATCTACCCTGTCAGTAATGCCCCTTTTATCCGATGTCAGACATTCACACAGAATACCACAAATAAGACCTTTGAGTGACAAAAAGAAAAAGTTTCTAATTAAGTCCATGCATGCACTTTACGCATAGTAGAGACCTAGTGATTCTTACTTTAAGTGTGTGTGTATCTGAGACAGGGTCTCGCTCTGTCGCCTAGGCTGGAAGGCAGTAGTACCATCAGAACTCACTGCAGCCTCGATCTCCCAGGCTCAAGCAATCCTCCCACCTCAGCATTCCAAGGAGCTAGAACAACAGGCACATACCACCATGCCCGGCTAATTTGTTAACATTTTTATTTTTATTTTGTAGAGACTAGGTCTCCCTATGTTGCCCAGGCTGGTCTTGAACTCCTGGGCTCAAATGATCCTCCCGCCCTGGCCTCCCAAAGTGTTGGAATTCCAAGCATGTGCCACTGCATTTGGACTATTTTAAGAATATTTCTAATAAACTGTTATTTGGTTATATTTCCCACTGGTGGTTAAAAGCACTAAGATAAGATAGATCAGATGTCCAAGGAAAGAGAAATGGGAGAACACTAAAGGTTTCTCTCGCTGATACATGAAGTAGAACCAAACCTTCCCAAAAATGCAGATCCAATTCAATCCAAAACTATTCTACAGCCTAATATCACCGAACACTTGACAAAATATTATGCGGGCTCCATCTCTTACCTCAGAATTAGAGTCAACCTGTGATTAATTTAATCCCATCTTTAATTACAGTCAAAGAATGAATGCTCAGCAAATATTTCATTTTAACACTATCCACTGCTATCCTACTCATAACCTTGGAAGAAATGATAAGCCCTCTTTTATAGTTCACTTTTCCTTATTCAAGCAATCTGCTCACTAGCTGTTCTTTTATTTTTTACTACATGACAGTAACGAGTTGCAATGGAAAGGTCAACTGATTTTAACCCGAATTGGAATTATCTAAGAGCATTTTACATACAGAGATAAAATGGATTATTTTACAGAATTAATTTTACCCCCAATAATGCTAATACACTTTACAGAAGTACAATGTTACTATTTGCTAACTACAGGTAATCAGCTACTTCAAGGCAGTGACCATGTTTGCCCTTTGGGATCGTTAAAGCACAAAACAGAGCACTGTAGCCAACAGAATAATTAATATTCCTGAGAATGTCTTCAAAAGACTTTCATGTATCGCTAATAGGATTCCAAATGCATGTAAGTCTTTTGGAAAGTTAGTTACATCTTTAAGAATCTTGAGCAAATTCTGGTTTATTCACTAGACGGATAAATGTGAGAAACTGATTTTTGATAAATCTCAGGATAAGAACTGTGTATTTAAAAGATTTTAAAAATGGCCAGGTGTGGTGGCTCACACCTGTAATCCCAGCACTTTGGGAGGTCGAGGCAGGTGGATCACGAGGTCAGGAAATCAAGACTATCCTGGCTAACAGAGTGAAATCCCGTCTCCACTAAAAATACAAAAAATTAGCCAGGTGTGGTGGCAGGCGCCTGTAGTCCCAGATACTCGGGAGGCTGAGGCAGGAGAACGGCGTGAACCCGGGAGGCAGAGCTTGCAGTGAGCCAAGATCGCGCCACTGCACTCCAGCCTGGGCTACAGAGTGAGACTTTGTCTCAAAAAAAAAAAAAGAAATAACTGTGTATCAAATGTAATTACAATTATTTCTTTTTAAGAAACTGCATTGGAAAAAAAGACTGGAAAGAAATGTTAGCAGTATTTGTAGTTGAATAATGAGACTATGGCTATTTTCTTTTCTCTGTATGCTAAATTTTACTTAATAAGTATACACTAGTTTTACAATGAAACAAAAAAAGAGGAAGGAAGGAAGAAAAGAAGGAAGAAAGGAGGGAAGGGAGGAAATGGGAAGGAGCACTGCTTAAAGGTAGCAAAATGGCCTAATTAGAACAGCTAGTTACCACTTAGTTAAATACTATTTACCCTAGCAAGGAACTTTCTAAGTGATCACAAATGTTAACTAAGTCATATAATATCTGCACTGAAGGGACATCTTACCTAATTCTGTCATTTGACAGGTGTAGCAAAGAAATTATAATTATACAATGCTTTACAGTTTACAAAGTGTGTTCAAAATGTCACATCATCTGTCCTTCAAATAATCCTGAAATAGGCTCATATGCCCCATTTTAAGGATCAGGAAATTGAGGGTTACAGAGATAGTAACGTGCCTAAATAATAATGTCTATGATTTACCAAATGTTTACTATGTGCCAGGCTTTGGTTAAGCACAATCCTGTGAAAATTATCCCTACTTTATAGATAGAAGGTGAAGGGGCTGGGCGCGGTGGTGACTCACACCTGTAATCCCAGCACTTTGGGAGGCCAAAGCAGGCAGATCACTTGAGCCCAGGAGCTCCAGACCAGCCTGGGCAACATGGCCAAACCCGTATGATTGGGGGTGGGGGGGCAATTAGCCGGGCATGGTGGCACCCAGTTGTAGTCCCAGATACTTGGGAGGCTGAGGTGGGGGGATGGCTTGAGCCCAGGAGGCAGAAGTTGCAGTGAGCCGAGATAACGCCACTGCACTCCAGCCTGGGCAGCCGAGTGAGACCCTATCTCAAAATAAAAATTAAAAAAAGGAGACAAAAGAGAAAGTGAAGGGTAGCCAGGCACAGTGGCTCACGCCTGTAATCTCAGCACTTCGGGAGGCCAAGACAGGAGGATCACTTGAAACCAGGAGTTGGAGACCACCCTGAGCAACGTAGCAAGACCCTGGCTCTACAAAAAATAAAAAAAATAGCCAAGGTTCGTGGTGTGAGCCTGTAGTTCCAGCTACTTGGGAGACTGAGGCCGGAGGATCACTTGAGCCCAGGAGTTCCACGCTGAAGTGAGCTATGATCGCATCAATGCACTCCAGCCTGGGCGACAGAGCAAGATTCCGTCAACAGAACAGAACAGAACACAACAGAGAAAAAGAAAAAGAAAAAGAAAGAAAAGGAAAGGAAAGGTAAGGAAGAAAGAAGGAAGAAAAGAAGGAAGGTAGGTAGGTAGGTAGATTAGGTGACTTGCTCGAGATCATACAGCTAAGTTACTACTCTGATTCTAAGCCATACTCTTAAAACAGAAGTCTTGAGTTACCTATAATTCAACTTCACAGAGCCCTTTAGTAGAGCTGGCTTATGATTCAGTCCCATGTTCTCTCTTTTAAGAGTTACTAAGTCTGACAGCCATTATAAGGGTCTATAAGCAAAAGCACTAGCCCAGTCATACCCCAAAACTCATGTTGGCGGAGAGCCCATGCCTCAGAAGAAAGGCGTGAATAACTAGAGTGTAGGGGACAAAGCTAAGAAGTCTTATAATGTACACATTAAGAAGCAACCAAGAATTCAAAGGAAACACTCCCCAGAGCAGCAAGGATAGCAACACCACGATATCAACAATTCCAGCACCTTACACTCCTGTAACCTAGCGCACTTTCCGCAGAGCCTTCAGGTTCATCTCAACGGATCCTCGCAAAAACCTGTGGGCTGGGCTGGGCAGAGCGGGAAATCAGTCTCACTTTACACAAGAAGCCGAAAGGAACGCAGAAGAGGGCCGAGTGGGCAGAAAAGCACGAGATTAAGAGCCAGGGGCAGCCACCTGGGGTGACCGGGCGCCTCCACTGATTGGAGGAAGAACGCAGGGCCCGCGGCGAGGACAAGGCCCAGAGAGGCCGAGGGGCTGGGTCTGTCGCCCGCCGAGGCTCAGGGGCCTTGGAGGTCGGCCCAGGTGCCTGTCTACTCACGTTGGACCAGCTGGTCTCCAGAGAAGGCGGAGGAGCAGCTGGTGACCAACGCACAGGGTACGCCCGCAGCCATAGCTGCGCTCGCGAGCCGGTTCCGTCTGGCAGCCGCTTCCGCCTTGGACTGCACCATGGCCGCCGGTGCGAGGGGGAGACACGCCGGGGAGGGCGTTCTCGGAATGACCAGGCTGCCCTGACCCCGCCCCCAGGCCCCCTTCCGCCCCAGCGTGGAACAGGCCAGGCCGCGCGTGTTGTTGCCATGGGGACGAGCGGCCCCGGCTGAAGGTTTCCATGCTTGGAAACCGCGCCTCCGCGGAGGTAGCAATTCCCTGACCTAGCCATGGCTCAGAACGCTGAAAACCACGACCCTGTCGGATCCATCTTAATCCAGGTGGGAAACGGGCCTCCCCTGGCCCTGCCCAGCCGCGCCACTTCCGAGCGAGGCCCCGCGCGCCAATTCACCGGCGCTTAGCCATTTGGTGCGCCGTCCCTAGACTGCCTTCTACACGCAAAAGGCTCCCCAAAATGCCCACCCAGACCTTCCCCCACGGCTCAGCGCACTCCCGGTGACTTACCGTGTAGGTTACGCCCCAGAAGTACGACCTTTCTGCCTCTGGGAAAACTCACGCTGAGGCCCCATTTTTAAATGTTACATTCTGAAAAATTTGAACCCATGATGTCGGGAGCGGAGGAGAGACAAATCAGACACTCTAGGCGGTGATAAGAAATTTGGAGACAAATTGAAATATGTGCATTGCTTTTCTTAAACTCCCCAGTTTTTTAGATCTAAATGTTCCTTGTTGGGGAACACATACACGGAAAAATCAAGATAACTTGGAATGAAAAGATGTAACATTTGGAAACTTGGTGAAAGAGCTATTTAATTTGAGAGGGGAAATGTCAAGAAAGTCTTGTCCAATACAGGACAATTTGTAACAGTTGCACTAAGATGTTTCTGAAATGATTATGGCATTTTGTTTTCACATTTATGTGAGGTAGCTTTAAGATATTTCCACGTATATCATCGGTTTTAACTATCACATATATAATAGCTGCATTTGAATAAGTCTTGAAGTCATTTGTGTAAGGTCACTCTATCAGGACTGTCACTCAGTCGGTCTGAAGTGGGTCTTATGAAAGGGATCTATTTTTTCTGGCAGAATTTTGATCTCTTACCTCCCATCTAGGAGAGATTTCCCTAAATCTACCTTTTCCCAAATATAAGCCCCTAAACTCACCAATTTCATACACTTCACCTTTAAGAATCATACCTAAATCTTACCTGATCTTTTATCACCCTCACTTTCACCATCACCGAGCAATGAATTTAATCAAACTGCAAAGTCTGAGGGAACAGTCCCCAAAAAACTGCCCTAACTTCAACACTCACTACCTGCAAGTTTAGAGGTCCCCAGAACCACCTCACTCAGACAAGCTGGGTACAAACTTAGGGGCCCCATCACCACCCTCACATTCAATGATTCACTAGAACTATTTGTAGAACTCAGGAAAGTGCTGTGCTCACACCTCCAGTTTTATTATACTGAAAGCATACAAATTAATCAGCCAAGGGAAGAGATGCCTAGGACAGAATCCAGGAGGGGTCCAGACACAGAGCTTTTGGTAATCTTACCCCTGTGGAGTCATGGACATCATTACGTGCATTACTTCCTCCCAGCCACAATATGTGACAATATGCATAGAATATTGCAACTAGGGAAGCTTATCTGAGGCTTTGATGTCCAGAATTTTTACTGGGGCTCAATCTCACACTGCCCTTGTGGTTGACCTTAATCTCCAGCCCCTCCCGAATACTTTTAGTCTCCCACTGTTCCAGAGGTCTGAGCTGATACAGCATGGATCAAAACACCCATTATAAATCATGTTGTTAGACTGTCTGGTGGCTAAAGCCGACAGACAAAGACTTTTCTATCAGGCAGGACATCCCAGGGGCCTAGAGATCACCTCTCAGTAGCCAGGGGCAAAGACTGGACCCCTCTTTGGGTAAGGTTAATTCTTTGCTGCACATACCCCCTCTTTTTATAGATTCCAAATAATTAGAACAATAATGGAGACTCCTACCTAGGATACAACATTATAGTAATAGATAACTGTTGACACTGACTTGTGAGATGAGTCAGAAGAGCTAATAGTCATATCCTGGTTGATCTGCACCCCTACTTGTTTAAAAGGATTCCTGTGGACATATCAAGTAAAGGGCTGTGTAGAGGAAGAGAGCCTACCTGTTAACCAGATTATTAAGACTGATTCCTGTATAGTATAAAATTCTATTCTCTACATGTAGAATATGTATAGTGAGGAAATTTGGAAGACTTTCCCTACTTTCCCAATGAATCTTGAGAATTTGTGAGTATGTAGCACCACCCAAATGTGCCAACATGGATTCCACTTCTATTTGGGGCTATGGTTTATTTCCCTCAGACAGGCTACCAATAATTAGTATGTCTAGTGGAAAGCACTTGATGGCGAGTCAGAATACTGAGATCTGACCATGGCTTTGGCATTCTCACAAGTAGCGACTTTGAGCTAGTCACTTCACCTCTCTGGACCTCTTCCTCTTCCATAGGGACACTTTCCTCTTCCATAGGACATATAGTTTGGATTAGGTTCACTTCTGACTCTAAATTGTCCCAATTTCCCGAAGCTACATCATTTACTGTAAAAGTAGACTTCCTTTCTTGTTAGCCTAGGCAATCAAATTGTTTCTGGCAAATCAGTGAGTGAGTGAGTGTGTGTGTGCTATAGACTGTAAAGCAGAGGTACTTTAAATTTCGACTTGCTTCACCCTAATATGGTCAGTTAGGTCTGTGTATCAATCAGACATATTAAACAGCTTAGGTGTTGTAGGTATTATTTTTTAGCTCCAGTTTACAGAAGACACCTAAGTACAAAGAAGTAAAGCATCTTGCCCATTGTAATACATCCAGTATGTATTGATCCTTAAATAGGCTATGGCATGTTTATGAAGTAATCTTGAAGAAGTGTGGTAGCGACTCGGAACTTTCCAGTCGTACTTTGTAAATCTTAGAAGCTTTGTTTTTATGCTTCATTAAAATGTGGTGTATTCTTAACAGATCTTTATAAATGCTTGCTTGACCCAAATATTAAACAGGTTTGTGTAACAAATATTACCTGATTTTATGAATCAAAATTAGCTTTTTAATTAAAATCCAGCAATTGTGTGTTAACACACAAAAAAACAACAATTGTGTGTTAACACTGATCTTGGGAATAAGGGAGCTCAACTGACAGTTTGCTATTTTCATTCTTTCTTATCAACCTCTCTGTCTGATTTGTCAGGTGCATACAATATAAAAATGAATGAAGTTGGCCAGGTGTGGTGGCTCATGCCTGTAATCCCAGAACTTTGGGAGGCTGAGGCGGGTGAATCACTTGAGGTCAGGAGTTCAAGACCAGCCTGGCCAACATGGCAAAACCCTGTCTCTACTAAAAAATACAAAAATTAGCTAAGCATCATGGCAGGCACCTGTAATCCCAACTACTTGGGAGGCTGAGGCAGGGAGAATTACTTGAACCCAGGAGGTGGAGACTGCAGTGAGCTGAGATTGCGCCACTACACTCCAGCCTGGGCAACACAGCTAGACTCCGTGTCAAAAAAAAAAAAAAAAAAAAAGGCCGAATGCAGTGGCTCATGTCTGTAATCCCAGCACTTTGGGAGGCTGAGGCGGGCGGATAATCTGAGGTCAAGAGTTCGTAGACCAGCCTGGCCAACATGGTGAAACGCTGTCTCTACTGAAAATACAAAAATTAGCCGGGCATGGTGGCAGGCTCCTATAATCCCAGCTACTCAGGAGACTGAGGCAATAGAATCGCTTGAACCCAGGAGGTGGAGGTTGCAGTGAGCCGAGATCGCGCCATTGCACTCCAGCCTGGGGGACAAGAGTGAGACTTTGTCTCAAAAAAAAAAAAAAAAAAAAAAATAGAAGAAAGAAGTTAAAGATAATTGAGGTAATGGGAATGACTCAGCCAAACTCTAGCAGAGATGAAGAAAATGGAATTTTATATTGCTTTTGACAGTATAGAGTCTGGTTTCGTGGCTCTTGTAAAGTCTAGAGCAAATCTTTGCTGCATTAAATCTTTCAAGGGCTTCTCATTAAGTAGCTCTGTCCCCAAATTGTCAAAATAATAATCTTTCTCCAAGTAGAAAATTTATGGAAAACAAGGTGTTTGATGATGACAGAGATGATGGATGAGATGTAAAATTTCAATATGGTAGATTCGGATCTATTTGAAGAAAGAACAGAGATTTAGAACTCAATCTCTTTTTCTACCCAAGTCTAGTGTAACTTTTTCTATAGTACTTGTCTTTATTGCAATTATACAAACAGATGAGTGGTTGTTAGAGGGGAGGAGTAAATAACTAGCAAGAAAAGGAAAAACTCTTGAGAAAGATTAGGGAGCAAGTTATTCAATTAACATTTACATAAATTCAATTAACATTTACAGAGTATTAGTTTCACTAATACTCTATAAGGAGTTTCACTAGGTTTTACAATTCAGAAGGGAAGAATTAACATTTGTTCAGTGCCCTCCTATGTGCTTAACACTATACAAAGTACTTACATATTTTTACTCATTTTGTTCTTGCCACTGTTTTGAGATAGCTATTATTATTCCCATTTTACAGATGAGAACACAAAGCCTCTAAGAGACTAAGTAACTTTCCCAAATTCAGTTTAGTAAAGAACGAAGCAGGATTCCAGTTCACATCTGTCAGCACCAAAGCCTATATTGATTCATTTTCATACATATTCCTTTCATTTTCATTCAACAGTTTTAAGTAGAGTAATTCTTTTTTATCCTGAACAAAGAAATTAGAAATTCAGAAAATGTGGATGTATATGGAAATCATGTGACTAATAAGTGATCGGGCTAGGAATTATATTCAGCTGCCTTTTATTGAGTTCTTGCTATGTACCAAGGCTGTTACATACTATCTCACAACTCTGTCAGGAAGTATCATTGTCCACACAAGGCAAGTGAAAAAAAACAAACCTTTGGCACAGTTTTTACTCCCTCCTGTAGTTGATAGACATAGTTACAGAAATATACATGGAGCTACAGATACTAGAAGAGGGAAAGTCAGTACATTCAAAGGAGGAACCAAAAACTACAGGCCAAGAAAGGGGCTTGCCCTTGAACTCCCTCTCTCTACTTTCCAAATGTCTCCAGACGATAGATGGCAAATCAGCTTGCAGCAGTAATTTGGACAAAACAATAGAAAGAAGTACATCTTTATCCTTAGTGCTTATAAGCAAGCAGTAGGTATGTTCAAATTTCAATCTGTGAGCTCTGAAGGCCTTACCTGACAATTTGTGCAGAGTACAAATGACCAGATGTGTCTGCCAGACTGTGATGCCCACCAGTGAAAAGATGTAAATTCTGATCTTTTGAATACTTGGCTCCATGGGAACATTTGAGATTAATCAATAACACAGGCTGGATCAGTGTTGAGTCCAGTTATACTAACAGAGAAAAAGTAACTTCTTCAAAATGCCTTTAGCAACCCAATTTGCAGATTGTTATTGGTGTGACTATTGCTGAAACAGGTGTTGGGTTCATAAATTTGCATAACAAAATGTTTTTCTTGTGGCAGCAGCCCATACAATAATTGGTGCCATCTGTATTTATCTGAAATTTGGTTTCTAATATGAATGCAGCAAATCTTGTGCTTTCTAATTTCATAGGGCCCATTTTATTCTGAGGGTGCCTGATGTTGGAGAGATGTTCATCATTTACAAGGAAATACAAATTGAAGGAAAAATGTTAAAGTAATAACATATGTTCCTTTTTCTTCAGGGATTATTTTCATTTCTCACTACATAAAACAAAATCAAGGTCACAACACCTACCAAACTACTTCTTCAGAGCAGTGAGTGGGGAAGACCCAGCCTAGGATGGAAAACCAACAGGCACTGACAACACATTTACAATAGTCTTTTGAAAGACATTGCTTCTGCTACAACTTCTTTGCTGGAAGTTTTTTGTTTTCTTTCCTCTTAACCAATTTGTAGAAATTGGTCTGTCACAAACCTCTTATCTCTGACTCAACTCTTTTACCACTTAAGAAAGCAGAAACCATTTGAGTTGCAGTGTTATCTTAAATCTATTTCTAATGGGAGAAGGAAAAACAGAAATAATATGAAAGCATCATTTTTCACAATCTGAGAGACAATAATAGAGCATTCTCAATAAAGAATGCCTTAGAAGGGCCGGGCGCGGTGGCTCAAGCCTGTAATCCCAGCACTTTGGGAGGCCGAAACGGGCGGATCACGAGGTCAGGAGATGGAGACCATCCTGGCTAATGCGATGAAACCCCGTCTCTACTAAAAAATACCAAAAACTAGCCGGGTGAGGTGGCGGGTGCCTGTAGTCCCAGCTACTCAGGAGGCTGAGGCAGGAGAATGGCGTAAACCCAGGAGGCGGAGCTTGCAGTGAGCTGAGATCCGGCCACTGCACTCCAGCCTGGGCGACAGAGCTAGACTCTGTCTCAAAAAAAAAAAAAAAAAAAAAGAATGCCTTAGAACCAGACTGGGCGTGCTGACTCACACCTGTAATCCCAGCACTTTGGGAGGCTAAGGTGGACAGATCACGAGGACAGGAGTTTGAGACCAGCCTGACCAACGTGGTGAAACCCTGTCTCTACTAAAAATACAAAAATTAGCCAGGCGTGGTGGCATGTACCTGTAATCCCAGCTACTCAGGAGGCTGAGGCAGGAGAATCGCTTGAACCTGGGCGGCAGAAGTTATAGTGAGCTGAGATCACGCCGTTGCACTCCAGCCTGAGCAACAAAGCGAAACAACATCCCCAAAAAAAAAAAAAAAAAAAAAAGCCTTACAACCATAAAACTGGTCCTTTTCAATGAATACTATAAAGTCAGCTTTATGTCTCTACCAATTCAAGTACATTGCAAACCTTTAAGATAAATAACTGCTATAGGTGGACTATGTGTGGATTATTTCAGTGTTTTTCATTTTTTATACCTCTAGATCCATGAAGACCTTTATCAGTTAAAGGAGGAATTAACAAAATTCTCACCTGAGGAAAAAAGAGAGACTCTAGACATTCGGAGTCTTGACACAGCAATCAAAAGGACTGAAATGGGGTTAAAAGTAAGTAGAGCTTTAGATATTAAATAAAATACTGGAAGGATACAAAGCATCCTCTAGAAAAAAGGAATTACAGTTCTCATAGAACCCTGCATAATTCTGGAACAAAGCTGAATTTAGGGCAGTCATCAGCATTCTTGTTCTCTTGTTTGTTCTCACGATAATTATTAACTGCTTGATTTATATTCTGTCATATTTCACAAAGAATTTAAGTAGGTTAAATGTAAGATTATGCAGTGACAACTCCTAAAATGTGGTTTTATAAAAATAACTTGGAGTATGAAAAATAATTACTATCACTGGATCTTAACCAAAAGGCCAAGAAGCAATGAAAAATAATTACTGTCAATCCAACAATGTACCTGACCAATACATTGCAGATTTTCTGGGATTTACTGAGATTTCACAAGAGAAGAGTTGGCTGGGCACAGTGGTGCAGGCCTGTAATCCCGGCACTTTGGGAGGCCAAGGCAGGCAGATCACTTGAGTCCAGGAGTTTGACATCAGCCTGGGCAACATGGTGAAACCCCATCTCTACAAAAAGTTTTTTAAAAAATTAGCCAGGCCTGGTGGCACACGCCTGTAGTCCCAGCTACTCAGGAGGCTGAGGTGGGAGGATCACTTGAGCCCAGGAAGTCAAGGCTGCAATGAGCCTTGATTGCTCCACTGCATTTCAGCCTGGGCTACAGAGTGAGACCCTGTCTCAAAAGAATAATAATAATAAAATAAATAAATAAATAAAAAATAAGAGTTGACTTTCCCCTAATAGCCTAAATATTTTGAGCTATTTGTTTTTGTAATATTATCATCAAGTGGGTAAAACTAAAGAAATATACCAATATTGGGCCAGAGAAATAAAGTAGATAGGAACTTCTTCATTACAAACAGATCTAAGGTCAGGGGAGAATCCAGTCTTCAGACCAAGATAATATTCATTTATGAAACAAGCTAATGGAGTCCATCTTCCAAATAAGGTCCATCTCCAGCTTCTAGACCTCTTATTTTCAGTGTCTCTGCTCTTGATTCAGACTTTTAATCTACTCTGTTACCTGCTTCATCTCTCAGCTCCCAAGGCTGTGAGAAATGCGGTATATTTTGTAGCACATCATTGTCATATTACCTGATGACGAGAGGGCTGGACCCAGCTGGAGTCTTTGGGTTGGCTCATTTAAATAATGTTACCTAAAGACCAAATGCTTTCTTTGGATGCTTGCTTGAAGTCCCTGTGAGAAAAAGACTACTCCATGTCTGTATTGCCTAGTAGATTTGCCTGGCTAAAAATGCACAGACTATTGTGCACTATTTTATTGGTAAAGAGTACCATAGAGGCTGGGCAATATAGGGAAATCCTGTCTCTACAAAAAATTAAAAAATTAGCCAGGTGTGGTGGCGTGTGCCTGTGGTCCCAGCTGCTCGGGAGGCTGAGGTGGAAGGATTGCTTAAGCCCAGGAGGTTGTGGCTGCAGTGAGACATTATGACACCAACTGCCCTCCAGCCTGGGCCACAGAGCAAGACCCTGTCTCAAAAAAAAAAAAAAAAAAAAAAAAAAAGAGTGTGCCACAGGTCACTCCAGCTTTGAGTCTCAATTTATTATGCTTTCTGCGATAGTTGAAGTAATTTGGCCTTGAGATACCGAATGATACCTTAGGCATGTAATAATACATAGCATCTTGTGGTTTTGGCTTAATTACAGGATTCAGAGTATTAACCTAACGAAGTAAATTAGCTGGGTATCTTAAGTCCACAATTATTGCCTAAACTTTGACATTTCTGTAACAGATTCACATTGAGAAGTATTTAAATGTTGTCAACCAGAATGTATTAACGACTGCTGTTAATGATGAGAGCTTATATACTCCCCAGGCTTCCAAATGGTAAGTAAAATAGCCATTTAGAGCCCAAAGTAAATAAAATTGAGAAATAACTTTTCTCACTCAAGTGAGATGACTGTAAAATATAGGCAACATTTTCTTGGCTTTGTTAACATCCTTTCTATTCAGTAGAGATTTTGCATAAGAAGTTAATGGTAGATCAAGTACAGTGAACTTTGTTCAGGTGAGGGATGCATTAAAACCAAGACTACACCACTAAATAATATCAGGCAGTCTCATCCCTACTGCCTGCAAGGCACTTATATCAGTTTTCTATAGTCTAAGAAATTACTCATGTAGTTGTTTAGAACAATAAATGTTTATAGTTTTTATGGGTCTGGAATCTGGGCACAGTATATACATGGAACAGAATTATACTTGTACCCCTCAAGTTTAGGCAGATTAAAAAAAAGTAAGTTAATGGTAGAATTTGGACTTCAGTGAAGTGATTATAGATTATTTCTATTGAGTTCTATGCTTGACACCGTAACAATTATTTCAGTGTCCTGGGTTTTGCTGTTACTCTTTGTTGTTGTTATTTGATAGCGAAAGGTATCAAAAATTTAACTTTTAAAGGAAACATTTTAATGCAAATGAGTTTTCACACTATTTAGATCATGTGGTGCTTTAGGGTTTTTAGAATGTCTTATGTGCTTGATTATACAGATAATTTTGGTATCCAGGGTAAACAAAAATAAAACTTGCTTGAAATATCTATTATGTGCATCCTAAGAGATGATTTACTAAAATTAGAATCGAGTTAAAAATAAGTGACCTTGCCTTATCTTTGGACTTTTTACACACAGGCCTCCTGGATTTGAATGAATGTAGATTAAGCTTTTGTACTAAACTTAAAAATCCCGTAGCCCTTATTTGTGTTTTATATATGTACCCAGCATAAATGAATAATATCAGGCAGTGAAGTAAAGTTTCATAAACAGTGCACAAGAAGTCAAGGAAAGCTGTAGACATAGCCAAGTCAGTACTGGGGAGCAGAGCTTTGGGTGTACATTGGACCTGTCTCCCTTTCTCTACATGTAGGCGGTGCCACAGGTATCCACCATCCTTTGGTAGAGGCAGCCCTTTCCTGGTCTCCCTATTTTTACCTGGACCTCCTTGCAGATATAAACATCTGTCATCTCTGTATTCATCACAGTTTCATCCCTACTGCCTGCAAGGCCCTTGTATTAGTTATCTATTGTATAAGAAATTACTCATGTAGTCGTTTAGAACAACACATACTTATAGTTTTTATGAGTCAGGAATCTGGGCACAGGTGAGCTGAGTGCCTCTGACTCAGGGTCTCTCACAGGCTGCAATTTAAGTATTGACTGGGGCAATGTCATCTGAAAACTTGACAATGGGTGGAAGGACAGGGAAAGATCTGCTTCCAAGCTCACTCTTATAGTTACTGGCAGGCCTTTGTTCCTCACTATATGGGTCTCTCTTAAGCTGCCTGAGTATTTCTGCAGCATGGCAGCTGGTGACCCAAAAGAGATCCAGAGAGTGGAAAAGAGTGCCCTAGATGGAAGCCACGGTCATTTTCTAACCTGATCTCAGAAGTGGTATCACTTCTACTCTGTTCTGTTGTTAGAAGTGAGCCAGTAGGTTTAGCCTACATTCAAGGAGAAGGGATTATACAAGCGCATGAATACCAGGGAGTGGGGATCATTGGGGGCCATATAGGAGGCCAAATACCACTGTACTCCTCTGTTTATCTTCATGATCCAGTTATGGTCTCTTGCTCTCTCTCTCTCTCTCTCTCCCTCCCTTCTTCCCTCCCTCCCTCCCTCTCCTCCCTCCTTCTCTCACTTTCTCTCTCCCTCCCCACTGTGTGTGTATATATATCAAGAAGTATCAGATGAATTTGTACTGTGTGCTAGCACTAAGAGAGAGACAGAGAGAGAGAGAGAGAGATGTGATCTTGCTCTGTTGACCAAGCTGGTCTTGAATGCCTGGGGTAAAACAATCCTCCTGCCTGGGCCTCCCGAAGTGCTGGGATTATAGGCATGAGCCACCATGCCTGGCTCGTCTTCTTTATTAAGCTTTTCCTCAACTCTTCAAATGATTTCTGAACGTATGTAGCATTCATACTATACAACTTATTTGTCATACATCATTTATTACCTTATATTGGTAGTTACTTCTTCATTGCTCTTGAGGACAGTGACAAAGTCTCATGTCTCAGTAGTCCCAGTTTACCATAGTGTCTTGTACATGGTGCAGAGATGGTAATGAACTATGTATGATTTAGTACCTCATATTTCTTAAAATACTGGAAAGAATTATAAGTAACTAACCTCTGCCTTCCTGGAAAATTATTGACATGTGATCTTATGAGGGGAATAGGAGAAAAATCATTCCAGAATGCTGATCTTGAGCTGGGAACCTGGAGAAGCAGAAAGGTCTGAATGTCCAAGAGATATGGACCTGATGATGCAGGAACAGTATTCTTTATAGTATCAACACATTGACCCTCCAGAACTCCACAAACTTCTGGGTGAATCTAAAAACCTATTCTCTTCGCTTCTCCCTTATCCTTACTTTGGCATCCTGAATTAGACTGTCTTTTCTGCCTATATTTAATTCAAGTCAAGAAGTATCAAATGAATTTGTACTGTGTGCTAGCACCATGGCTGGTGCTCTTTGGAATTCAAAAGGTCATTACCTTGAGAACTTTAGAGTCTAGTCAGAAAGACAAACTCAGTGCATGGTGGCACATGGGTAAAAGGTGATATAAGTCTGTCAAGAGATTAGAACCTTGGGAGTTTGATATGGGCTACTCTAGTCTGGAAAGATTTCAAGGGTAAAGTAGTACTTGGGCTCGGGCATGCAGAAAGGAAAAGGGACAGCTTTCTGAGAAGGAAAAATTACCATGAATGAAAAACCACATAGGGAATAAACGTGGGAGGCCTGTTCATTTGTGAAGACCAGTGAGCTTGGAGATGAGAAATGGGAAAACAATTGAAGAGGTAAAGTGGGGGTAGACTGGGCAAGAGTTTAATACTAGATAATAAAGTTTAAATTCATCTTAGAAAGTAGTAACCTATTGAAGCCTTTTGTGTCAAACTGTGACATGACAAAAGTGACATTTTATAAAGATTAATCTGAGAATGCTGTATAGAGTGGATGGGAAAGGTTATGGTCTAGAGATAAGAAAGTAGTAGATGGATGGCCATAATTACCCACACATTCATTTAGTAACTTATTTATCGTGCATTTATTCAACATTTATTGAGCAGCTGCTATTTACCAAGCAGTATGCTAGATATTGGATATATACTAATTAGACGTAGACCTTGGCCTTGTAACTCAAAGTTTAATCTGAGGTATACAAGCCTGGACAAATATGATGATGGGGGAGTAAAAGGAAAGGTTCGATTTGAGACATTTGGAAAGAATCTCAATGAACATAAGATTGTAGAAGTAGATTGAGTGAGACTCAAGGATGACCCTAAGATTTGGGATTTGGGACACTGAGAAGATAGAGGAATCATTCATCTAAAATGATAGCTAAGAAGTCAATTTTTTTTTTTTTTTTTTTTGCCTCCCAAGAAATCTTTTTTTTTTTAAATACTTTAAGTTCTAGGGTACATGTGCACTACATGCAGGTTTGTTACATATGTATACATGTGCCATGTTGGTGTGCTGCACCCATTAACTCATCATTTACATTAGGTATATCTCCTAATGCTATCCCTCCCCCCTCCTCCCACCCCACGACAGGCCCCAGTGTGTGATGTTCCCCTTCCTGTGTCCAAGTGTTCTCATTGTTCAATTTCCACCTATGAGTGAGAACATGCGGTGTTTGGTTTTCTGTCCTTGCGATAGTTTGCTGAGAATGATGGTTTCCAGCTTCATCCATGTCCCTACAAAGGACATGAACTCATCCCTTTTTATGGCTGCATAGTATTCCATAGTGTATATGTGCCACATTTTCTTAATCCATTCTATCATTGATGGGCATTTGGGTTGGTTCCAAGTCTTTACTATTGTGAATAGTGCCACAATAAACATACATGTGCATGTGTCTTTATAGCAGCATGATTTATAATCCTTTGGGTATATACCCAGTAATGGGATGGCTGGGTCAAATGGTATTTCTAGTTCTAGATCCTTGAGGAATCGCCACACTGTCTTCCACAATGGTTGAACTAGTTTACAGTCCCACCAACAGTGTAAAAGTGTTCCTGTTTCTCCACATCCTCTCCAGCACCTGTTGTTTCCTGACTTTTTAATGATCACCGTTCTAACTGGTGTGCGATGGTATCTCATTGTGGTTTTGATTTGCATTTCTCTGATGGCTAGTGATGATGAGCATTTTTTCATGTGTCTGTTGGCTGCATAAATGTCTTAAAGAGAAGTCAATTTGAGGAGGAAAGAGCAAAGTTTTGTTTTTGACTTTGGAATAGTGTTACTTGAAACTTTCTAATGCAGATGGTACTTGATTTGGGAGACAATGAAGCAGGAGATAAGCAGTTTCAAGTTTTAAGACCCAGTAGGTTGAGATGAGGAGCTAAGATCAGAGAAATAGATAGGGCTACATGCCAGTTTTGAAAAAGTCTTGGAAACAAGCAGACCAGAAGTCAGATAAACAAAGGTACATTTGTATAGCATGTTATTACAGTGTACTTTTATATATTAATACATGATCTCAAATAATCCTTACAACAACGCTGTGAAATTAGTGTTATTACTATGCACACTTTATAGATGAGGAAACTAATATTGAATACATTGCACAAGATCACAAGGCCAAGAAGTCTAAAGGAATTCTAATAAAGTCCAATCTTTTCGTTCAAAGTCCATTGTCTTTTCTGTAATGGCAATGAAAGATAGTATGATGGTATTTGCAGTTATTTTCAATATTTTAAAATTCTTTAAAGAAATCATGATTAGTAGTCTGGACACAGTGGCTCACGCCTGTAATCCCAGCACTTTGGAAGGCCAAGGAGGGTGGATCACCTAAGGCCAGGAGTTCCAGACCAGCCTGGCCAACATGG